GTCGGATTGCAGCCAACCATCCCAGGCATCGCAGCAGCAGGTAGTCAACATAGTCACACTACATTGGCTGATGGAGTGCAACATCAAGTTACCAATCATGTTCATACACATACTGTGCGACAGGCGAGTCAATGTCGACGTTTGCATTTTTGATCATTTTTGTGTTAGTTTGCGTGCCAGTGGCCAAACCTTCCAGCTTCGGGACTATCATTATCCTTCCTGTGTTTTGGGATCCCACCATCAATATTCATAAGGTGCAACACCTTCCACTACCAAGGTCGGACTCCCTCAAATCAAAAGTCGACTAGTCTTGAAGAGTCTGGCGGCCTGCAAATCGAGTGGGAAATCCGTCCGACGGATCGGCTCAACTATGTTGCTTATCGGAAGCAACACCTGAGGGTGCCCAAGGTTCAGGGGGGGGTGATCAGGGGAAGGTGTTGTGTGTGTTTCTTCAATTTCTTTCTTCGGGGTTGATTTTGGGGCATTCTTTTGACCACCAAAACTATAAGCAAATTCCAGCGTTTCTTCCCTTGATTCGGATCACTGGCACGTGTCAGTGTTTCAAGCGCAACTGGGGAATCGAACCACACAGGCGCTGGCGGGTGCCACCGGCCCGGCGCCAGACGCAGCGGAGACGCTGACGTGGCTGGTGCGGGGGTCCAGCGCGGCGACGGAGCTGGAGGATTCACAGAGCTCACAGGGCTCGCAGAAGGAGCCAGGTGGGAGGTCAAAACCACACACTATCAAACAGCACGTTTTATTTGTTTGGGTGTATGGTCATTTAAGAGATCATTTAAGCGGATACTGTAAGTCAGTCGCGTTTGGAAGAACATGTGGCCCTCTCACACCCTAGCAGGTTGGTGCAGTGCTAATTTGGTGTCAATCCAGGACACGGAGAGTGGCATAGCTTTGCAGACTCGGAAAGTGCCGACAGATCCACCTGCACCTCCAAATCCACCAACATCGGCAGTGGCTCCAGTCAGGAAGGCCTACTTGAAGCACCGCCTTGTGGGGAAGCAATCCTTAGGGCCTCGTCTTGGTTTTGCCCCCAGCCTTGAGCGCCCTGCCCGCTTGGGATCCAAGTTGCTGCGGGCACGCTTGGGGCACAGTTTGCAGCCACCCGAGCGGGGCTTCTTGGTGCGAGTTCATGGGGATGGCTGGGGCAGCGGCCAGGGGAGCTACTTGGCCACGGTCACCGAGGCGGACACCACCACCTTCACGGTGATCCGGCGCGGAGATTGTTATGGATCCTGGGACGAGACGCACGTGTTGAAGACATGTTGCTCCATCATGGCCCGGACCAGCTCCAAAGAACATGTCTTCCTGGCTTCTGCCAAAGCGACGAGGGCCTGAATCGCCTGAACATGGGCAAAACGGTCCCGGAGTCCTACAGCTCTTGTATTTGCCAATTTTGGTGGCAGCTTTGTACAGATCTTTAGGACTGCTGCCAGGGTTTGGACTCTGTGGCTTGTCACTGCTTTCAAAAGAACGGTAGCCGTAGCCCCTCGCCATTGAGCCTTCACGACGTCTTCCCATGATCGGAACCGTTGTGTGCAGTTTCGAAGGCACACTCACCAACCAAATACTGCAATAGCCAAGGAGTAGCCAGTGTGCAGCCTTCTGCCACGACATACGTCCTCCGAACAGCCTGAAGACAATACTTGAATTGAAACGACATGAAAGCCGTCAGATGCAGTGTGATGCGGCGAGTTTCGGCTTCCAACACGGGGGCCTCGCGCTTCTGACCAACTCGCATGTGACTTGGAATGGAAGGGGGGCAGATGTTTGAGGCCAGTTTGGTCAATCCAGGGGTGCATGCAAGACACATCTGACTGGCCAATGACGGCTAATGACATCCTCGATTCTTGGGATGGCCTCAGGCAGGACTTCGCCAAATGTGGCATTCCTTTGTTCTCTCGGTTAGGTGGCTCGTTCGCCATGGATGAGCGGATCATCACGGAGATTTTTAGGCGACGGTCGGGTGATCCCGTGCTTGCGGACCTGTAGACGATTATGGCAAAAACCTCCAGGATATTATAGTAGCAGGACCTTCTCGAAAGGCATGTGGATGTGTGCGACAGAACCAAGGAAACGCAATCGACGTAATAATTAATAATGAACATTACCAAGACCAAGCAGAACAGCCGCGTAAATAGTTTATGTTTGTTTTTCTGCCAGGAAAAGTAGAGAGGTAGAGCCAGAATGGCCGGTCGCTGTTTCTTGTTGCGCAAGACGTTCCCTATCCCTGAATCACATGCAGATCCATCTTCAAGATGTTTGCCCAGTGCTGAAAGTTCTGCAGCAGTGAAGTCTCTGCCGCCCGCTCCCCAACAACGCAGAGATCTGTCCTGTTCTGGTACCATGTGGTTTGTTGATTCACTTCCTGCACTATTTTAAACATACTATATTCACGATATTCAGAATATATATATATATTATATACATAGCTTGATATAGCGGTGGTTTTGTTAACCTCCATTTGGTGGGTTTGTGCAATCTACGGTCTTCTAGGGTGTTCATTTCGTGCAGCCATTTCACCCCTGGAAACGTGTACGAATTGTATATTAGGTATTTATTTTAAAACAGGTGTGCATATATATATATATATAACAATTTGTTGTGCCAAGGTAGTAGCCTTAGCTCTCTTTTGCTCTCTTCCCTTGGAGACTGCGGAGGCGCTTCGACCGCAACAAGGATGGGATCATCAGTCGCGAGGAGTTGTTGGCTGTCTTTGACAAGATCTTGCCAGGTGGGTCGCTCCAGGGCTCTTAGGGATGCGCGGTGTCTGTGCCAGTGACATTGGCCAAGGGAAATTTGATTTGCAGCTTTTGTCAGGTGCCAAAGACATGGACCGCTTGATCCAGCAGATGGACACCAACCATGATGGCCAGATCCAATACGAGCCTCGAAAGATCGCAACCAAGTGTTTGTCTGTGTGTGGTGGGGGAATCGCAGTACATGATGCACCCTTTTTTTGGGACATGCTGTGGATTGCATGCCTGGGATGCCACCTGCGCATTCGGGCTCTACGGTTCTACTCGTTGGCGCATGGAAGAACCATAAGTTGAAGGAAGGGTTTAGAGAAGGTTCTCCCCTAGCAGACTGCAACCATCTCAGGCAAGTTGGCCAGCCAGAAGCTTTGAACGCATATCTTTTTTCCATCCCTTGTTTTATTCAGCTTACAGCGGCACTTTGAGGAAGAATTCGTGGTATGGATCCTGGGTGCTGGGAATGGTGATGCCTACGCTAAGGACCGTTCGAGCTCCTTAGCTGCAAGAAGACAGAGAAAGTGATCCCCAAATACTTCGCGTAGAAAGGTAGCAGCCAGCCCCCCCGGTACGTGGTTCAACACTGGTGGCCTCGTACAGGTCCCCGTCTCATCTATGGCAATAGTGCTGATGTTTGCTGCGGCCGCTCAAGACTGATGGATCAGGCCCTGGCGTGGGGCTCTCTGATCTCCCAGGGTTTGAGGACGAATTTTTGGGGTCTTGGCTGCCCTTTGCATTGCCAGTCCTTTCCACTCAGCTCCTTCCTTCTGGTGGCTCTGTTGGGCTGGCTGCTTGGGATCCTCAGCTTGGCTGCTTTCCTCGGTCTCATTCCCTGGCCTGGACTTGGCCTGTCTGATCTCTCTCGCCCCTCTTCGGCACCGTCTCGTTCTTCGTCAGAGCGGCTGGCGCTCTATTTGCATGAGCGTGGACTCCGAGGACGAGGAGGTCATTGAGCTCTCAATTGTCTTGGATCGCACTCTACGTGTGGCTGTTGGGGGGGCCCTCGCGCCTGGCTTTTGCCTGTCTGCAGGCAGTCTCATCCTGGCACCATTCCTACTCTCAGCCTCAGGTATCTGCAGACGCTCCGCCGTCGCCTGGTCCTTCAGATCGGTTCTCTGTGGCTTCAGCCGCGCCCTGTTCATCATTCAGTCAGGAGCCTCGGCCGTCATCGGCACCTGGGATTCCAGAGACCCGTGCACAGATTGCTGCTTCCTTTGCTCCTGTGCCTTCTGGCTTGCTTCTGTCGTCTCGTCGACTTTCAGGCACCCGAGAAGCAGGAGAAGCTCGCATTCGCCGAGCGTGGACAGCTGGTTGTTGGGCACGAGCAGTGCTGGAGCATCGAGTGGCCACGCCATCTGCCACTCCTCAGTTGGACATCCGGCCCCGGGTCTACATTGTCCCTCGAGCTAGTGGTATTGAGCGGCCAACGGGATTCAGTTCATCCTCGTCTTTCTTCCGTGCCGTGGGCAGGAACTTTGTGAGGCTGAACCTACATTGTCGCACTCGTTCCCCTCTGAGACGGAGGCTCGGGTCTACTGCCAGGCGGCAGACGTCCCGTACCCTGAGATCCAGCCGTGATGGCTTCAGAGACGGAGGAGGGTTTGGAATTCGAGCAGCTGGTTCCTTTATCTGCAGGGCTGGTTCCCTATGTGATCTCCTGGCCTTCAGAGGAGAGACCAGATGCTTACCTGGATGCAGTCTTCCTGGTGGTTCTAAAACAGGCTACTGGCTTAATTGGTGCTCTCCCTTTGGGGGTGATCCCGGATGCAGAGTTGGCGGTGGCTGCCGCCTCCACAGATCCTCATTCTCTGATGGGGGCTTCCACGACTATAATGGTGCCCGGAGTGCATCAGGATGTCAATGGCATGTGGGAGCTCGCTGGCACAGAGGTGGGCGTTTTGGTTGCCGACTTCAGTGGACAAGTCGCTGCCATGTTGAGAGTTATGAACGAGGGAGACCCGGAGGTCTTCGCCTTTGTTTCAGATCGGCCTTCAATCTTTCCTCGAGGTCAAGAAGTTATCAGTACTGTCATGGATTGGCTCAGTTCTCAAGGCCTTTCAAATCCAGGAGGGCCGTATACCTCAGACAGCATGGACGAGGTGACCGCTCAGAGCGAGGGGACTCCAAAGGCAAAGGCAAAAAGTCGGGCTCAGCCTGCTGGTCAAGACATGCCTACAACTGGAGGAGGATCTATGCCAAAAGCTCCCAAGTCAAAGAGGCCTACCACGGCTTCGCTTGCAGAGTCACTGGATCAGGTCCTATCTATTCTCCCTGCTATGTCGACTCAGCTTCAAGCAGCCGCCGACCGTTAAACAACTTTGGAACAGCAGGTGGTGGCGAATGCATCTATCCCGAAGCAGTTGGCTCGGCCTCTGGGAGCTTCAGTGGCTCTGTCGAAGTCGGCATCTCTGGCAGAGGCGACTGGGCTTCTCAGGAGCCCTCCGAAGACTCAGCTGGCCAAACCGCCATTGCCTTCAAGTACGCCTATGGCCCCTCCCATGGTCAGGGAACTGGAGGAGGAGTTTGGTGCTACCGACAGCCCTACCGTGGCTCAAGCGATGATGACGCAGTCTATTGCACTAAACCAGTTGGTGTCGCATATTGCTTCGAATCACCTTGACCCGATGCTGGATCTTCCTCATGGTGCTGGGTCCAGCTCAAGGGGTGCCCAAGGCAGGGCCCGGCTACAGATGGAGCTGGCCTCACACAAGGGGGTCTTCTTCGACGCAGTGATGCGGTCTATGGCCAGAAGGATGGCCCCTACCTTGGCCTCCGCCGACCTTTCCGGAGAGGAGATGATGGCCCATGGCATCTCAGGAATCAGATATCTCGAGCGGTTCGGAGGGTATGGTCATCGAGATTTAGGGCTTCTCCAGTATCAAATTATGACGGCCTTCGATTTCATGATGACTGGCAACCATGGTGCAGCTCGAGACACTCTGGCTTTGACCTCGGTGATGATCGAGCAAGCAACCCTGGACAATGGTCGATTCGATGTGGCTGTCATTCTTGGTTTGATGGAGGATCCTCTCAGCTCGATCTTCATGAACCGTCAGGTGCTGAACACAAGCCGGGCGATGGGGCAGATCAGAAGTGGGTGACCGTGGCTCTGGCCCATTTGAAAGAGCTGGACACGATATCTACCCGTCGGAGCGAGTTCACCTCAGAGAACAATCCCTCTTTGCAGCTTGGAGGAGGAGGGCAACCCGATCCCAAAGCAAAGGCAAAGGCAAAGAAAGGAGGAAAGGGTCGAGGCAAAGGACATTCGACTCAGCAAGAAGGGGAGGAGGAAGCCTGAAGTATGACCAAGGTGGTGATCCTTGGAGTGGGCTGCTTTTGCTTGACAGTACTACTACATTTGTTGGTTGGGCAATGTCTCTTCCACGTTTGGTGATGGCCTCTCGAACTTCGTTCGCCTGGCATCTTCGTGATTCATTTTCTGCTCGCTGGCAAGCTGAAGGCTTGCAGACCGCCGTGTTTCCACTGCCTATTCCTTTCCTTGGAGTTTTTGATGGTGGTGGCCCTGGGCTAAGCAAGAAGAGGTTGCGAGTCCTCGCACAGAAGCGCCTGGCTCATTTGATAGTCTTGGTGCTGAACAAGTTGTATTTGGGACGCTTCGCCAGTGCTGCTGAGCTCAGGAGGTTTCCGTCGCCTTTGCAGAGGAGGGTGTTTCGGAGGCTTTATGACTATATCACGGTGTGTGGATTTCGACCAGAGGAGTTTCAAGTTCCACCTGTTCGGTCCGGTCCTGAATTGATTGCATGCCTTTCTCGGCTTGAGGCCTTCTTGGTGGACCACCCAGAGTTTCGTGGGAGTTACAGCTCTTTGGAAAAACAGCAGTTCTCTCCGCCAGCAGTGCATAGGAGCTTGGATGCTGATCGCCTGCAGTTGAAGGGTACTGGTGGTTGGCCTCTTGCAGATTATTTGGATGGTGAGCTCTGGCTTCCCTATGTTGAGCCAGCTTTCCTGTTGCATGGTGAGGCTCATGACTCGTCTTCCTGGCCTTCCTTTTCGCGGGAAGACCCCCCTGGAGTACAAGAAGCTTGCCCTGAAGTGGGAGAACTTGGGACTGCTTCGTTTGTATGATGAGCCGCTGGTCGAAGGACATTTCTGCAAGGTCTTCAACGCCTTCAAAAATGCAGAGGTTGATAGACAGATAGGTGATCGCCGTATACCCAACAGTAGAGAGAGGTCTTCTCAAGGTCCTTCAGCTTTTCTGCCCTCAGCGGTACAACTTGGTGCTCTCCACGTGCCTAGATGGACCCACAAGGCAAGATGTTCTATGACGGATCGCAGAGATTTTTACCATCAGGCAAAAGTTTCATCGAGCAGGGCTCGCAGTAATATGACTCCTTTCTCCTTCCCGATTGAGGACTTTGAGGGCGCGAAGGCTCTGGATATTTGGAGGAAGGAGCTTGCAGAGCGTGGCCTTGGAGGTCGAGAGGTGCATGGAGATGACCTGAAACAAGAACGGCTGGCAAAGGCTGATCGGCCGTCTGAGTTGTTCCCCTGTTTTGGTGCGCTCTATCAGGGAGACCATTTGGGAGTTGAGTTCGCCTTGCGGGCTCATGAGGTACTACTTGCTCGAGAAGGTCTATTACATGATCGACTACGACTACGTAACAAGCACCCTCTGCCACAAGGATCTGTCTGGGAGGCTTTGATCATTGATGATTATTTTTGTTTCTCTGTGCAACATCGCTCAGTATGCCCAGCTGACACAGATTCTTTTCGAGCCCTCGAACGTGCCAGAGAAACATACCAGAGACATGGCCTTCCTGGCTCGCCAGAGAAGGATCTCGAGGCTGTCGATGTCTTCAAGGCGGCCGGTGCTGAGGTTGATTCTGCTGACCGGGCAGTTGGACTTGGTGTCATTCCAGCTGGTGCGCCTTTAGCAAAGAGGTTAGGTTTGGCCAGCATTTCATTGAGGGTTGCTGCTCTTCCTGCTATTTCGGGGAGTTTGGCGTCGCGTTTGTCGGGATCTTGGGTGTCCGTGCTACTTGTCTGTCGATGCCTTTCGAGCTTGGTTGATGACCTTTTTGCACTTGGCATTGGGAGTCTTGAAGATTTTGATGGCATGATTCTCCCATTGCCTAGGAAGGTTGCTGAAGAGCTAGTTGAGCTTGCTATTATGGCCCCCGTCATGTTCGCCCACCTCACCGCTTACCGCTTCTTTCCCTGAGGAGTTGTTTGCCACGGATGCCTCTCTTGAGAAAGGAGCGATTGTGAAGACAGTGGTTGGGTCTCAGCTTGTCGGGACCCTATGGCGAGGAGGCGACAAGAGAGGTGCTTACACGATGTTGGATGGTCCTTTCCGTTCTGCGTTGAGGCATCTTGGAGAGGAGCATGAGCAGGGTGTTGATGGCCTCCCTTATGAGGAAAAGATCTCCGCTGCTCCGTTGCTATATTTCGACTTTGTGGAGGTCTTTGGTGGCGCAGGCCGTGTGTCTGAGGAGATGAAACGTTTTGGCTTCGCTGTTGCTCCAGTGCTGGATTTCTCTGATAGCAAGGCCTATGATGTGGGGGGATGTGCGCCTCTTGGAGTGGGTCCTGCATAGGTTGGCAACTGGTCGCTTCAGGGCTATCTTCTTGTCACCACCTTGTACAAGTTTTTTCCCCAGCAGCATATCCGGCAGTGAGGTCCTATCAGGTTCCAAAGGGGTGGGACCGAAAGAATAAGAAGGTGCTGCTGGGGAACATCATGGCGTTCAGGAGCTTGGTGATCATGAAGTTTGCCTTCTTGCATGGTTGTCCTTGTGCGCTTGAGCAACCTCGTAGGTCGAAGATGGCATGGCTACCAGAGTGGAGGAGCTTGGTTGGCCTTGGTCTGTGTGAAGCGGTCGTTGCTTCTTGCTACTTTGGCTCGCCTCACCAGAAGGAATTCAGGCTCCTTCTGGGTCACATTGATGCAGCTGGTGTTGATGTGAGGTGTACGCGTGACCGCGCGCGTGTGAAGATTGAGGGGAAGTTTACCATGTGTTTGGATGCCGTTTCATGTTTTCCATGTGTTTGGTTGCCATGTTTTCCACCGCCATGGCCCCTCTTGCACCTGGCTCGCATGCAGAGATCGAGCGGGCGCGGATGCGTAGTCAGAGCCTGTTGAGCGCGGACCGCGCCGTGAGAAAGGAGACCCGTGATAGTCGCGCCTTCCTTTTGCGTGATTTTGAGCACTGGCTATGGAATGAAATGGAAGTGAAGTTGGAGCACTTCCTCACCGAGAAGCCAGCAGACCCTGAGCGAATCTGTGATTTGCTGGTAAGCTATGGCCGGGATTTGTATGCTGCTGGCAAGAGTTTCCAAAAGTATTCAGAGACGATCAACGCCATCAGCTCTGCCCGGCCGCTGATAAAGCGGCAGATGACAAAAGCCTGGGATCTGGCGTTTGCATGGTTGCAGGATGAGCCTCATTCTCACCACCCTGCTCTACCAGCTAGTGTGCTACTAGCGATGATGAGTACTGCCCTTAGCTGGGGTTGGAAGAGAGAAGCAGCGCTTTGGGGCATGGCATGGTCAGGGATCATGCGGGTTGGTGAGCTTATGTTTGCAACCAGGCAGGACGTGGTTCTGCCTTCAGACGCTGCTCCGGGAGTTGAACATGTTTTGATCAAGATCCGCCTTCCAAAGACTCGAGGGAGGGGGGCCAAGCATCAATCTGCACGCGTGGACCCCATTGATCTGGCGAAGCTGAATTCCCATGTGTTCAAAGATGAGCCACCTGAAGCACCCCTTTGGCCCATGTCAGCAGGGACACTTCGGAAACGTTTCACCAGCGTGTTGAAGGAGTTGGGACTCCCCACAAAGGCAGTTGGTGGTCAGCGCCCCTTTGAGTTGGCCAGCCTTCGGGCTGGTGGAGCTACTTGGTTGTTGGCTCAGACAGAGTCGCCGGATCTAGTTCGTCGTCGTGGCAGATGGACTGCGATTCGAACAATGGAGATCTACCTTCAGGAGATCTCAGTGGCCACCAGCCTTGCTAGCTTGCCTCACGAAACGAATTCAAAGATACAGGCCTTGGCAGCGGTTTTCACGATAGTGTTGGAACGATGCTGTTTTTTTCATGGCTTGTGGAGTGCCCACGCGGGCCTTTTTTTACATGTTGACAGCCAACAAGAGAGCCGGCAGAGATGGGGGCTAGTGAATGCGGCTGACAATGATGCCCACTTGCAAGCAGAAAAGGAGCGAGGCACTATATAGTTGGTCCAACTGGTGCTCCAAAAAGCGGTCTCCATCGTACCATTTGCTCAGCCTGGTCGCGGTTGGTTTCAGCGGTTAGCCCACGTTCTCAGGTCTTCTCAATGCACATGCGCAAGCAGCGCATCAGAAGGCCTGGGAGTACAGATCAGCCAAATTGGGCTCTCCAGCAACCTGCGAAGTACTCTATCAATATGTGGGGGTGTTGGGACGTGGTTTTCTTAGGACAGTTGTGGAAAAAAATGCTTGAAAGGGCTGACAACCAAGGTGCTCTTGCAACGGCAACCTGGTTCCAGCACATTCCGAGCAGCTTGTGTTGGTCTTCGGGCCTGGTCGCGGCTTCAAAAAGCTGTGGATCGCCGTATGCAGAGCACACCGTGCCGCGCAGGTCGAACGCCTGCGAGAAAGTCAAACAGGAGTGAAGCGGACGGCCCTGTTTTGGGGGCAGTTGAGCAGTGAACAAGGCGCAGCAGCTCAACGAGTTGGTCAGCCGAGTTGGCGGTTTTCTGATCCGGTCCACTCCGATGATGTAAATGTTCGCCCATGTATCTCTATCACGGTATAGATGAGGAGAGCTTGTCATACAACAGTGGCCCTGCCACCATTTATTCCACAGGAAGAGGAAGCACGTCAAAAACGCGGGGTAGAGAGAGAGAGATGCTCGCATGTCTCATGACATGTGTCGTGACATGTGTCAGATGCGTTCCCTCTTTTCCTGGGTCACTTTGAGTTGTTTGAAGTGGGAACACGGCGGAGCGGGGCGAAGTCTGGTTCCGACCGTGTCCGTCAGGCCGGGCAAGCCTGGCGACGTTGCGGTCAGATCCTCCAAGAGGAGCTTTGGCCGTGGTTTGCGCAGCGCCTTGGAGGCTCCAAGGCATGAGCCGTCTGTTTCTCCTCGGTGAGGGGCTGCCACAGTTCCATGATTGTTGAAGGGAGGTTACTGTACATTCATTGTGTGGGGTTGGATGTTTATTTTTTGGGTGGCCCTGGTAGCCAGGGTTGAGACTGCTCTTGGGTGCTACGGCACACCAGTGGGCATGATTTCCACCCGTAATTTGGCGTTTGCATGTCTGGCAAAGTGCATTTATGGCAGCTCCCAAGAACTCTCCAGAGAACCTCAGGCACTCCAATACCGCTCAAGCCGGAGTCTTCTCACTTTTTGGATCATCGCCATCATCGCGTGGGTCGCGGGGTGCCATTCATGGTGAACGTACGCCAAGGCCCACAGCCTGCTGAGAGTTTCCAGCAAAAAGCCGGGCACCCTGAAGCGTACTAGTAGCGCGAAGCTACTAGTAACGCGGCGCGGAGTCGGGGCCAGGGTGGCCCGATCGGCCGAACGGGGCGGGGGTTGTCGGGTCGTTCGCCCCCTTGACGATGCGGAACGTCTGAGGATTCACTGGGAAGAGGCGGAGGCGATGTTGGAAGATGTGGATGCCTTCCTCATGGAGCTGAAGGAGTTCCATTTCGCTGTTTTCGGTGTGCTTGGCACGGGTCTGAGGCTTGAGGTAGCCATGTCTTGAGTTAACTAAGAAGGTACTTGGCAAAATGAGGATCGGGGTTGAGCAATGTGGCAAGCCTTTTGCATGGCAAACAAAGGGGACGCAGTGTCGCAGCTCAAGCAATGTTGGCTGTTGCTGTTCCAGCCACATAAGGAGATGTTTGATCATTTATGTAGGGGGCTTCATGAATCAAGGTCCAGCCAGCTGAGCGTTGACATGTCAACCCCGTCTTGGCACCTTTGGGCCGGAAGGCTTTTGACCCCATAATTCCTCTAGTCACTAGTTGTTGTTTGTTGTTGCCATTGATGGCGGTCAGGAGGGCCATCCTAGAATTCCAAAGGCGTGTGCAGTGGCCAAGCCGTTCTGGCCGCCTAGGACTACAACCCCTACAGGGTCCCAGCCTATGTGGTGCAGTCCTTCGAAGAGAATCTCACGCTGTGCCTTGCTGTGGGATGATGGACGTTGATGGATAAGGGAGTCGGCTTTGAGAAATCCTTGGAAAGTAGCCAGAGCCAGTGGTCACACTGTTTACTGCTTACAGTATCTTTGCCAGAAGTCCTCTCCTGGTTGCTTGTATAGGAGCCTCTCTTGAGCTACACAATTGCAACATGATTGGTTGTGAGGGCCCCAATTGGCACGAACACACTCTTCAGTTCCTTTCATTGGTAGGGGTCATGCGGCACTGAAGCGGCACAGAACTTCCTTTTCCGAGGTCTCCCCCTCCCGCCCCCTCCCTCCTTTCCCATTTTTCCTATCCGCTTGACTGTTCCTAAGTCCCTACTTCGACTACAAAAGGATGGAGGAGCGCAACTACGCCTGCGCCTGCCTGGGTTCATGGGTCATCGCCCCTCAGCGGCGAGTCTCTCTTTAGAAAACAGGGGGGAAACTCTGAATATAGTAGTAAGAATGCTCCTAGTAGCGATGCCAAGAGCCCCAAGTAGCGTCCTTGCTCCTAGTAGTAAGGCCAGGAGCCCCTAGTACTGTAGCTTCTTTGGAAGTTTCTGATAGCCGTTGACCACTTTGTCCTGGCATGGGAGTGCTCAAGATGCTATATTTTTCTCGGGTTTAGAAGGGATCATACCTGGTCATCCACTAAACATGGATGTTAGATGCGGATTTTTTGGGGGGTTGAGTCCAGCAGAAAAGCTACAAGATGCTCTCCGGCCAATTTGCGGATTGAGGCCGCCGTGCGAAGCTGGAGGGAAGCGAAACAGATGGTGTCTGGGCCAACTGGGGTTAGGCCTTTTTCGTAGTCAGGGAGAGGGAGGGCATTTGGCTATCTGGGAGTGGCCAAGACTGGCCTTGGACTCTCCCAATCATTCCAGAACAGTACGGGCGCACTCTGCTTTGGTTGTTGACTTGTTTAGTGGGTTCCCAGTGATCACAAGGTGAATTGAAGTACCGAAAAAAGATAAAACTCGAAGAGTTCTCGTTTCACTTGGTTCTACACTGACTGGGGCAGGGATCAACAGTAACACTGACAAGACTCAAAACCCAAGCAGCCATGGCAGGGGATTCGCATCCCCAGGCAGACTCTTCAGTGCTAAGATGGATGGCAGAGGACTTGAAATCATGAAAGGTAGCCTCGGCAACCTGAGTTCTCTTTGCTTTAGCAATATGATATTGGGGGTGGTGGAGTGGTCCTGCTCCTGATTTCGATCGTTTTAAATTAGGTTTTGAATGGTGGGGGGGGGCCCAATTCGACTCCACCCTGCGCTGCTGAGAATTTGGGAGTGATCTGGCCTATCCACTGTGGTCTATTGCAATCTGTGGTCTATTGCTGGCTGCTGCTGCTTGCTGTACTGCTTGCTGCTTGCTGTGCTGCTTGCTCCTTCCTGTACAGCTTGCTGCTGTGCTGCTTGTTGCTCGCTGCTGGTGGTTCGTGGTTGCTGCTGGTTGCTGCTGGTTGCTGCTGGTTGCTGCTGCTGCTGCTGCTGGTGCTGCTGGTTGCTGGTGTTGCTGCTGTTGCTGATCCTGCAGGTTGCTGCTGTTGCTGTTGCTACTTCCTGCTGGTTGCTGCTGTTGCTTGAATCCTAAAGGCTGCTGCTGCTTTGCTGGCTGCTGTTGCTGGGGTGGTTGTGCATTGCCTGTGTTGGGGCTTTCGGGGCGGGCACTGTTGGTGCTTTCTGTCTCTGCCCTCGACCATGACAAGCCTCCACCCTCTTTCAATTTCGTCTGCACAACCCCCCCCGAAACTGAACGAAAACCAAGGGTTGTGGAGGCCAAACTTGTGTGAGCTTTGGTGCTTTGCTGCTGCTGCTGCCACTGCTGCTGCCACTGCTGCTGCCACTGCTGCTGCCACTGCTGCCACTGCTCCTGCTACTGCTGCTTTCTGCTTTGCTGTGCTGCAGCTGCTGCTTCGCTGTTGCTGCCGCTGCTGCCACTGCTGCTGCTGCTGCTGCCGCCGCCGCCGCCGCTGCTGCTGCTCGTTTGCTGCTGCTGGTGCTGGTGCTACCTTTTTGCTTTGCCGCTGCTGCTGCTTTGCTGGTTTGCTGCTGCTGCTGCTGGCTGCTTGCTCCTGCTCAGAATCTCCCAACCTCTACCTTTCGTCCACCTCCGTCGCCTCAAATCTTCGATGTTTGCAGGTTCCTGTCGAAGATGCGGCCCTGCGGGCAGATGCTGCTGTGGCAGAGGTCAAGCAGAAGCAGACCTAAGAGTCTCGAAGGATGCGGAGGACCCAATCGGTGATGTCACGAGTGCTGCCCAACAATCATTTGTACTCCCAAGAGCCAGGGTCGGAAGTGGAACAATTGCCCTTGAAATCCAACCCCTCCGGGAACCTGCCTGTCTCGGTGCGGGCCTTGCTAGGTTTGTCAGCCTGCCAGGTGCTTCATTCAGGCACCATTTAACATCACGGCCCAGAAACAGTCCAATAAGATCAGCCTGCACCTGCGAAGGACCTAGCCACTGGTGCCGTGAACACTGGTCTCACCAGTCTTTCCCCGGCCTCTCGCGCCGCGCAGGGGATTTGTGGGTAGGAAGCCGTCAGAGCAAGACATGTGGTGTTAAGCCCTAATTTTCACGCGTGTATATATATATATATACAATTTCAATTTTGCTTCGCTGTGATCGCCTTGTTTCAGCTTGGTGCGTTGATTCCTCAGTGCGGAGAGCAGCTCATGGGCCCATGCGCAGAGGCGAAGGTTGGCGCTTTTGAACAAGTTCCCGGAAGACTAAATAGACTAAATAGACCAATGCCGACTACGTGCGAAGGAAAGGGCACGCCCAGCATGCACATTGAAGCACTGCCGCACATCGCAGAACTGTGCAACTTGAGATGGTCGTGTTGGTGTTGGCAATGATAATGTGCTGATACTGATAATGTAACATGGTTGTTCTTTGGGGTGGTGAACTTTACACCTAGTTTGCTGAGTAGGGCTTATCCTTTCTACGTCACGGCACGACAAAGTCAGTTAAAGCTGTGATTTTCGGTTCTGCATTGCTGCACTGGATGTAGCTGAGATGCCAGAGAAATGGAACCACTGATAGCCAGTGGGTCAGTATTTATATAATCTTTGTGAGCTTGTTTTGGTTGTCTCCTTCATGCCTGTGCGAGGAGGGCATGTGTGCTTTTCGAGCCTGCTCGCTTTATCTAGTGAGGAGTGTCCAGACCAAGGTGTCCATCACCCATACCAGCAGTTTCAGAGTTGGTTTCATCTATGTTTCATCTATGCATCTATGACAAGTTGGACGTTCACCCCTCTTCATCCTGCTCCCTTGTAGTTTCTACGAAAGAGCACCCGGTGGAGGCCATCGCTGGTAGGATAGAGGGCCATTGCTACTAGGTCCTAGGTCGGAGGCCATTGCAATTAAAAACAAAGAGCAAAGAAAAGGAAGAAAGGTTGTTGGAGGCCCTCACTCCACATGGCGTCCCTGGCTGCCCTCGGCGCACAGCGCCCGCGTGTGCCGCGCTCCACGTGGCTGGCGCCCGGCGCACAAGTGGTCGGGGACGTACGGCTGGGAGAAGAGGCATGCGGGGGCCACCCGATAGAGACGAGTTTTCTGTGGGGACTCGGACGACCTTTTTATTTACTGTGTTTAAACATTTTTTTCCCAGCTGAAACCCTAACGGATCCATTTTCCTGACTCTGACTCGTTAGATAGTTGATTTGTCAGAGGGAGGGTGAATGGACTTTGCTCGCTGTGCAGGTGGGCGTGTGGTTTAACTGCGTGCTGCGAGGTGATGATTCCTTCATCGAGGTTGGAGGCTGAGCAGCGCTTAAGTAATTATGTATCAGGTCTGGGAGGCTGGGTTTGCATGGTTCATCCCATTAGCTATGCCATACTTCATTTAGTATTTTGGCTCAAGGATTTCCCTTTGTGAGCCAAACTGGCTTTTGGAGGGTGCATTCGCGACTTACGCGAGCGCATGTCGTTGCTTCCGCGACCAGGCATCGATGTTGCAGTTCATATCGAAGCGCCGCTTCTGGCTACCGCAGCTTGGTTGGAGGCGACCGCTTATAAATGCGAGAGTTACTCGCCGCATCAAGCAAGCAGTTTTGGCCTTTCGCCTTTGGGCATCTGTGGTGGAGATCCAGCACACCCCTTCTCAGTTCAGGCCTCCCATCAGGCGCAGGCCGTGTACTGCTGCGGGCCGCCAGTGCTGCACTGCGTGGAGGGGTGGCATCCAGTTTCCATTCATTGGCTGCTGGGCCAAGCGAGGGGTGCTGTGCATCCCAGGCGAGCGAGCCGAGGACGCCTGGCAGTGCTACATATATGGCTGGCTCACTCTCTTGGTGCTTGAGGCCATCAAGACGGAGTGCGCAGTCCTCTCCATGCTTCCCACCATCAACAAAGCTCTTCGCAGGTTGGGGAGACCCGTCCCGTGGTGCCATCGGCGCGCTGGAAGGGGAAGCACTCCTGTGTGACAGCTGAGGGAGCTGCGGACTGGGTACACCTCACCTTTGCTACGGAGTTCTAGCAGCAGTCCTGAGTGCAGCCGGCTTTGCTGCACCAGCTACTTCGCAGGATGGATGCGCTGCAAGCCATGGAGAGTGACCCCACCCAACCATGCCTTCCTACGATTGACTCACAGCTGGCAATAGGGGGCGGCCCTGCGTGGACGGCCTCTTCCTTACTGGACCTTGCTCAGGCCTGAGTCGTTGACACCTTCCGGCAGCGAGCCGGCGTGGAAGCGGACGAGGGCTTCGCCTTTCTCTTCTCATCCTATGAGGAAGCTCAACAGGCAGGCGATGATCACGATGCAGCTGCATGGACCCAATGCCGGGCGGCTGCAGAGGAGGGACTTCTGCCAGTTGCACCCAGGTGATGGAAGCGGACACCCCGGCGCCTATCCGACTCTCCTCCAGGCCTCCTGGTCTTTTTCCAGATGGGCCGTCGACCGGAAGGGGGTTAACTTCGGGATACGCTCCTCTCAGATTGGCGGCTGCGCTTCACCGTAGGTGACTCTGGCCGAGAGTGTGACCATCCTGAACGCCATCCGTACCTGGCAGGAGCTATAGCCATCTTCCTGAGCGCTTGCTGTGCATGTGACTGGTTGACCAAGCCATACGACCTGGGGATCTGTGCGCAATCTCCCGCTGCCCTGGAGCTTTTCATTGTAGACTCAACCAAATCACCGCTTGGTATGCTCGCCGCGGGGCCCTCCCGCGGTTGAGCCAAAACATGTCGGTCAGACGTTGAACCGTTGAAGAAAGAAACAGAAGATGAATCAGGACGTGACTGCCGCCAGGGATCTCTTCCCGTGGGCCCGGTCTATTTCCGACCCTCCTCCATGAATAGGTGGCTAGCTGCTCGACTCGATGGGATCAGCCACGTGGTTCGATGAAAACTGCCTGTGAGCGCGCTTCGGCGCTACGAGGCCCCGCAAGGACCAAGGACTGCATAGGGGCTTTGGTATCTCGGGCCACGCAGTGTTCGTGTGCTAGGGGTGGCGGCCATCCATTGGCCGTTATCTTTTTTGCGAGGCCATGGTCCCTACCCCCTGCACGACGCCCTCTACGCGCTGCCGTTTAACTGCAGATGTCCGGGTGCGTGCGCTCAAGCTCCGTCACCAGCACAACGCTGCGGTACCGACGGCGACGACCTCTGAGTTTACCCGATTCCTCTACTCCTGCGAATTTTGTTATTAGTCCTGTCAGCTGGGTGGCTGCCACCATCAGCCATTCTTTTCTGCTAGCTGGCCTATCTCAGGTGGGGCCTGCCTGATTAGAGAAGATCTCCGCCTGGTTGGTGTTGCCGGCCAACCTGGTAGCGCAGTGCGCGCTTGCTCCATGATATTCGGCGTATTGCGTCGCCTTTTCCCCTCTGCCCCTGGCTGAACCTTTTTAAGTGCGTTGGGATTGAGCAGAGACTTGCGATTTGTTAGACGCGACCAAGTTGACTCTTCCAGTTGCAGGGCCACAGAGCGCTTGCATTTAGAGTGGAATCTGAGTGGAAGATGTATGCCAGTGCGCGTCCCAACGCTGATCCTGTGGAATCACAGGTTGTTCAATCCATGAAGCGTGGAATACCAGAAGGAGTATTGGAGAAAAAGAGCGGCGGTGGGAAGCGAGAATTAGAGTATATAGCTTCTCTTTGAAGATAGCTAATTTGAGATGTAAACTTGCATCAGGTCTGGAAGGCTTGGGTTTGCATTGTTCATCTCAGTAGCTATGCTTCATTTGTATATTGGCTCAAAGATTTCCCCTTGTGAGCTAACCCACCTGAGAAGTCGGCCTCCCTTGTTGGTGCGTCCACTTCTTTTGATGTTCATTGCCAGCAAGGGGCCTTCCGGGGGAAGAGGTCTGAAACGGGATTTGTTTGATACGACCTAGTTGACAACCCTTCCAGTTGCAGGGCAACCTGCAACTGGGAGAGCAGGGCGTCTGATCAGGTCTATCTAGAACAGACCGCTTCACTTGCACAATCCTGCACCTAGACTAAGGGTGCATGCCGCTGTGCGTCCCAACGCTGTGGAATCACATGCTGTTCAGTCCATGGAGTGTGGAATGCCAGAAACAGTATTGGAGAAAAAGAGCGGCGGTCAGAAGTGCGAATTAGAGTAGCCTCTCTTTGAAGACAGCTATTTTGAGATGCACATATATATATATCACACACACCTATATATATATATATTTTTTTTTTTTTTTTGGGGGGGGGGTTCCAAGCGAAGCCCGGTTTGGATGTCTTCGGGGGAGGGCCTGGCCCCGTAGATGTGCAGAACCAAAGCTTTTCACCACCCACGACTAGGGGCTAGGTTGCGGTAGTTTTTTGGACACATGACCAAGGATGCTGTGGTTCATGCGCTTAGGTATGCAAGCTCACTGAAGCATGTGGCACTTTGTGCTTTCGGACCCGGGTTTCATACCAGTGCGACCTCTGTAGCCTAGCCAAATTGCCATGCATGTCCACTTGCCGCCGCGGCCAGTGACAATCCTAGAGGGTCTAGATCGGTTTGCTTTCACTACCTGGAAGAGCCAAGGAGATCGAACAAATATTCAAGACTTGACAATGGTGCACTTAGACACAGGCTGCCCGTGCATCATTGGACGGGAGGTGACGGTTGGGCATGCCTGCATTTTGCATGGCTGCACCGTGGAAGACGAGGTGTTGATCGGCATGGGCGCCACAATTCTAAACAGAGCGGTCATTGGCCGTGGAAGCGTGGTTGGCGCCGGGGCACTCGTGCTTGAGGGGATGCAAGTACCTCCATTCTCTCTTGTGGTGGGCTCACCAGCAAAGGCCAGGGCTTGACTGTGACTAAGACATGTCCAGGTCGGGAGGAAAAAAGTAGATTCTTGGTCCACAGTACAGCCACTGGTCCGTTCAGGTCAGCAATCCGCTTGGGCCTCGACCCCCGGCCCGCCCTACCGCGGCATGGTTGTTGACGTTGCGCAGGTCAAGAAGACCTACAAAGAGGAGGACCGGATCAGCGCTCAAAGACAGCATGCTGACAGCTATGTTCGGAAGGCAACCCATTTTCGCTCCGCCTTGCGGTACGAGCCTTCTTCGCCCATCCCACGCGCGCCTTGGGGTGAATGGAGCGTGGTTCTGAGTGGGATGGCGCTTGTGTTGGCCCTGGTTTCTGTTGCAAAGCGCTGATCCATTTGATGGATTTGGAGATGAAAAGGCACAGCCAGGCAAAGGGAGAGCTCAGTGGGTGCGTTGTGCCCAATGTTGCACCTTTTGTTTTTGCGGCCCGTCATGGTCCGTCACATGTAGGGTGCGATGTAGAAGATGTATTTTGTGAGTTGGTGACGTGTCTCAGTCCATCGATGCCTTGATTCATGTTGATTCAATGAAGATCGGCCCACCGAAGCTGGTTCAAAAAGAAGAATTCTCCGCAAAAGCACAGAGCACGGGGTTAGTCATATAGATTTATATAGTAGCAAAGCCACGGCAAACACACTCAGATGTTCAATGGCTTATTTTGCCTACCTCACGCCGTCGCCACTGACTTCTCGCAATTTGAGCTGGCTTGCCATGTCAGAAAGGCGTTCCACTAGTTGCCCTGCACATGAGAAGGATGTCAAGGAGCCGAGACGTTGGTTCAAAGCAGGCACAGGTCTCAGGGCATGGTCCGGGAGTAGCTAGGATGTGGATTCTCTCTTCATTTTTGTCCACAGGAGCGCCGGGACGGCCTCGGGACGGACAGCCTTTCTCCCGTGAGTCCTTTGACCTTGCTGGCGGCATCGCCCAGCGCGGGGTCGCCCACCTGGGCCTCTCGCAAGGTCCGTGCCCTGCGCAGCTCACGCCGCACCGCGACCACTGCCGGGACCAGCCACCTGGAGCCCCTGCCGTTGGCGAAGGGTGCGGTACGGCACCACCGACCCAGTAGCTCTTCGGGCGCGGCCGGAGGCTTGGAGGAACAGAAGGGTGAGCTGACAGTGGCCTTGGATTTCGAGGCCGCCGAGGCCTTGGGAAGGAAGATCTTGGGGAAGGACTCATGGGTGAAGAGGATTTTCGAAGAATTTGACGGAGCAGCTCCTGGGCTTTGAACATCAAAAAAACCTTTTGTATCCTTTTGCAGACCTTTTTCTCCTAGCATGGGTGGACACGAATGGACTTTTGTGAAACAATCTGGCAGCTATGCGACTGTTTTTTCCAGCTGTCCCATCATCTCACCATGGACCATATCTCATCCCTCGACTGAAGGGATTGAACCCCGATCAATGTTGAGGCTTGTGGATATCTTTGGCCTGCAGAGTTTGCTGCCCTGAAAGCGCGCTTTGAAGAAGCCATGGGTAGCTTCGGGAGCCGGGCGAAATTCAACTTTGATGCGGCAGACACCAATATGGAAGGAAGACCCTTGGACTGCACGACATGTCTGCGCCATTTCTTGAACATGTCAAGACGGTGTTGGCTCGAAGATGGTTCCTTTGGGTTTCATTCGGCTTGTTCTGGCCTTTGGAAGAGAAGAGATGCCGAGATGCCTCGGTCTGGATTCCCAGATGGGTGGCACATACCGACAGACAAAGTGCCTACATCAGTGACAATCCACTCTACACAAATGCAAGAATCAACACCAAGAACCTTGGGGTGATTGGTGGTGAATGTCCTATGATGTCTTGCGTCTTGTGCTTATATATACGAACATCAGTACAGTACAGTACAGGATATATATATATATATAAACACTGACTTTACTATTGAAGTTAAACTTGTCATTTCTAGTTCATTCTGCAAACTTAATACAATCACGTACAATCAATAATTACAGGCGGCGGCGCTGGAACCAATGCCCATGGAGTTTCCTGTTATGTTTTTTTCAGGTTTCACCATTTTTCACTGGCTTCCGAACTCCTCAGGGATCAGCCTCTATGAGTGGGAGCGCTACTCCACCCAGCTGATCCAGGAGCTGGGTGAGACCCGCTGCCGTGTGGCCGCCGAGCGCGTCCTGGGCAGCCGCAAAGCCGAGAGCCGCCGCAAGGTAAAGCACGCGGCTTGGCCGGTGGGTGAGGTGAACCCCGTAGAAGGGGCGCCGGGAAGAGGCAGAAGATGGGGTGAAGTGAAGGGTGTCTCAAGACAAGCCGGAAGAATGAAAATATAATGTTGTTTATAACGTTAACCAGCCACTTAATTAATTCGTTTGTTGTTTTGACTCAAAACTGAAGACCCTTTTTTGCAATAAGGGGTTATCCTCATTTTGAGCCAAAGGTGCGAATGCTGTTGGGGAATTTGGTGAAAATTAGCAGATTAGCATTGGAACACCATGAAAACCACATTTGTGAGTCTTTCAACCTGCCTGAGGTCTTTGTCTCGGAGGGATTTGAGGCTCAGGCTTCGGTGCGGCTGCTGGAGGTGTGCTCCAAGGGCCACAAGAACCTGAGACCTTTGGCTTTTGAACGAGGAGATGTGGCAACAGGGATGAAGATGGATGTGGGACTTTTGGTTTGAACGGGGGTATTCCACCAAGCCCAGCATATGGATCCAAAGTTGTTCTCCCAACGCCACCCTCTCTTGAAAAACACAAAAGTTAAACCATGGCCTTGCATTGGGCCATCTTCCACTGCGATGTTTCCCCAAAACTTCTGGCACTCTTCTTGTGCGTCGCGGCCGGGTTCGATCGCTCATCGAGGCCTTCTGGAAGACACCCGCGTGGCCTTGTCCACGAAAGCTGACCCCAATGCGGGGCTTGTGGCTTGGATAGCAGCTCTTGCTTGCCAGGGCTGGAAGTGCGCCAGGAAGATCCGGGTAGTACAGGTCCGAGATGACAAAGTCTGCCGGTCGGGAGTCATGAAATTGTAAATGGCCCAGATGTGTTTGAGGCCTTTGGAATTTGTAACACGTTTCAGCCGAGATGTGTCACTAGTACCTCCATGTGAAACCACATGTTGAGATGAGCACAAACCTGGTCTTTACAGGCCGCAAGCACGACAGCTCAAGAGTGAAAGGGAAGAGCTGTGTTAGATGGTAGCGGAGCTGTGATCCGGATTCGCTTGCGTCTCCGGTGAGCTCCAGGGACAGGACCCGATCCCGTGAGGACAGGACCCGATCCTCAAGAGCCCTTTCGTCGCCATAAGTGGCCGCAGAGCAGAGCAGCCGGCAGCTTCGCAGCAGCTGGCAGCGGCGGTGCAATCAGAGCCAGTGGCTTCCTGGAGGGCAAGTTCGCTGGAAGAGGAGGCTGACGCCTCATGAGTGGCATGGAGCAGGTAGTGGCCGAGCTCCATGGGTTCACGAGAGTGTGCGCCCAGACTCTCCAAAAGCTTGGAGAGAAGGAGAAAGAGAAGGACGGCAGCAAAGCCGATCCAAGGACCCTTTTGAAGCCTGAAGTGTGGTCTCCAGGGACTGTCGATGAGGAGCAGTCTACATGGCCTGAATGGTCATTCCTCTTCAAGAGCTACTTGGCCTTCATTGAGGAGGAGTTCATGAACGACCTGGAGCACGTGGAGAAGGACTTGGAGCAGGACCTGAAGTTGAGCGAGTACAAGGAGGAAGTTCAGAAGAGAGCAAAGAAGCTGTATGCCTACTTGGTCAGCTTTGTGAAGGGGCGACCGCTTCGGATCGTCCGGAGTGTCACGGACACTGATGGCTTTCGAGCCTGGCAAGGGCTTTGTCGGGAGTTCCAACCCAAGACAAGGCAAAGAGAGCTTGGAATCATCCAGGCACTGGTGGCCTTTCCGCAGTTCGAGAAGGGCAAGATCCTGGAGGGGATCATGAAGTACGAGAAGCTGGTCGGTGAGTACGAGCGACTGGCAGGAAGCTCCTTGGATGAGAATTTGAAGATAGCAACGGTCATGCGTTGTTGTCCGGGGCAGCTGCGACAGCATTTGCAGCTGAATGTGAAACCTGGCACTCGGTATGCACAGGTTAGAGAGCCGATGGTGGCCTACGAGCAATCTACGGCTGCCTGGTCAGGCGCCAAGATCCTCGAGCACAACCAGATTATGCCAATGGAGGTGGATCGCATCAAGGGCGACCGCAAAGGAAAAGGCAAGGAGAAGGGCAAAGGAAAGAAAGGCTCACCCAAAGGTAAGGGTGACAAGGAAAGGGCAAAGGCAAAGGCAAAAGCTCTTTTGAGAAGGGCAAAGGAAAAGGTGGCGGCAAGAGTCAAGAGAAAGGAAAGGGCAAGTCCAAGGGACCTTGCTTTGTGTGTGGCAAACCTGGCCACAGAGCTGCGGAGTGTTGGCAACGTGGCCAACAAGTTCAACAAGTTGAGGGGCATGATCATGGAGATCATGGAGGAAATGGAGGGCAACCTTCTGGACCTTCCACGAGGACTTCATCGTCTTCAGCAAGTACGGCACCGAGCAGCACATCGTACAGAAGCGCTGGCACGGTGAGAAGGCTGTGGGAGATCAAGACACCTCCCATGGTTGAGACCTGCGAGATTTTTGATCTTGCAGAAGAAGGTGAGATAGACATTGAGGAGAGCTTCACTGAAGGCTTTCAGATGGTGGTGACCGAGGAGGACATGGTTGAGCACTTTGACCTCACCAAGACTGACATGGACGACTACTGGACCGTGGAGGATGACTTCACCCAGGAGATCGACCTCAACGACTACATGATGGACTACAACGACCTCTTCGAGAACGTGGACTTCATCACCCTCGAGACCTCTAAGGTTGAGACCTTTGTGATCCAGGCCATCTGCGAGTTGGACCTGAACTACAACGCTGTACTCGACTTGGGTGCAGATGTGAGTGTGGTGCCCATGAACATGGGTAGCTTGGGCAAGAGGGCCCAAGGTGGAGCATTGCTTCGAGATGCTCAAGGTAGAATGATCCCTGTTGAAGGGAAAGTTGCAATGACGGTGCATTGCATAGCAGCTGATGGACGACCTGTCAAGCTGAAGGAGATCTTTGTGGTGGCCATCGTGAAGCAACCGTTGGTAGCTATGGGCAAGTGGATGAAGAAAGGTTGGATGATCCAGAATGTCAAGGACAAGTTCTACTTGCAGAAGGGTGACTACTACCTCCCTTTGGAGTGGGAGTGTAACAACCTGACTCTGAGCTTTGGCTTGGAGGAAGAGAAGGTCAGCTATGTCATGGACGTGTCTGACGAGCTCAAGGCCATGGCTGAAGAACCTGGCTGGCATGAGTTGAGTGATGGCACACCTGTTTTGGTGGTCAAGAACGCATTCACTTTCCAGGACATTTCAAGAAAGTATGATCCTTACCAGTTTCCTTGCAGAACAACACTGGTGAAGTTGGAGAGTGGCGAGTATGACTGTGTGGAGAGCGCGCAGTTCTGGGTAGACAGAAAGATGTCGGAGTTGGATGGCATCTCACCATGCACAACCCTGACTTTGGTGCATGAGAAGGCACTGTTCCCTCACGAGATTCAGGAGCTCTATGGACAGCAGATCCCTCCTGAACCATGCCAAACGCTTTCTCCCCAGCAATTCTCAACCCTCACAGGTTTTCCAAACTTTTTGCTCCTTCAAGGGATCGAAAAAAGTTCTACAAGATGATCTTCATGCACAAGTTGGAGGACCCGCTGAACCACGACTTCTACCTGGAGAAGCAGAACCTGTTCCTGAAGAGATGCAGGCTGAAGAACCTCAAGGAGGACCGCATGAACCAGAGCAACTTGGTCTACGACGAGGTTGGAGATGACTTCGTGATGGTGAATGGCTTGAAGTTGACAACTGCAAGCTCAAGAAAAGTGATGAAAGATGCGTGCGAGTTCCTTGGAATCCCTTTGAGCGGGAGCAAGACCACAGTCTTCAGAAGGCTACAGGTGGCAGTGAGAGAAACAGCAGCAAAAGCAGCGCTTGATGCAGCTCGCAACGAGAAGAGGGCAATGGAAAGACGACCTCAACAAGCAGAAGTACCTCTAGCCCCTACAGATGAGGAGAAGCAAAGACATTTGCTCTCACACCTTCCTTTTGCAGATTGGTGTGAACACTGCCAAGCAACAAGGTCAAAAGACAATGAACGTCATGAACGACGAGAACAAATTTGTCCTACAGTGGCTTTGGACTACATGACAACGAACACCACGATTCGCAAAGAAAGTCCTGAAGTCAAGCACTTGGTAGCAGTGGACAATTGGTCAAAAGCCATTTTGGCTGTGCCAATCAAAGCCAAAGGTGGTGCAAGCGTGAAGCTATGTGCCAATGCAATTTGTGGCTTTGTCAGGGACTATGACAAAGTGATCATCAAGGGCGACCAAGAACCTTCCTTGAAGCAGGTTATGAAAGCAGTGGCTGATGCGAGGAGGCTGTTGAAACTTCAAACAACACAAGAATTCTCACCTCAAGGCAGATCAGCATCTAACCCTGCAGAACGAGCAATTCAGACAGTGAGAAGGTTAGGCAACACCTTGCTGGAAAGCATCCGTGTTGGATGTGGAATCGAGATTCCCGCTTCACACCCGCTATTTGTTTGGCGCTATGCCCATGCATCATGGTTGTACAACAGGTTCCATGTTACACCTGGTGGCAATACACCATTTGAAGTTGTGACTTCCCGCACTTACTCGGGGAAGCTGGCACCTTTTGGAGCATGCGTTTATGGACAACCACTTCCAGTCCCGAAGAACACCCGACGAGGAGTTCCAATCTGGCGGAAGGGAATCTATGTGGGCAAGTTGATGGATTCAGACCTCAACTTCCTGTTGTCGCCAAATGGATTGTTTGTGACGAGAGCAGTCCGAAGATGTGCCGACGAGTGGCAACCAGAGTTCCTCATGGCTTGTCATGGATTGCCATGGGATGATGCAAGCTCAAGAAAGTTTGGTCCCACGACCAAGGTCGACAAGAAGAGAAGCCTGGAAAGCCAGACCTTTCCTGGACTACAAGATGACGAGGCCAAAGCAGTTGAAGAGTACGCACGACGTAGAGCAGAAGAAGCCTTGGCAAAACCTTTTGGTGAGCTGGAAGGAAGTGATGAGGAGTACCTTGATGACAAGGACTTGAAGGACAAGCAGAAGAAGGAGACTGAGCTGAAGAAGCCTGGTGATGGAGAACGAGAACAACCAGTTCCCTACACGCCGGAGAACCTCCCGTATACTCCGACGGAACCTCCGGATGATTTGGTCATGAAGGATGCAGAGCAAGACCCGCAACATGCAGGAGGAGTTCGTGATGAACCTCAAGGCGGACTACATCCTCAAGTTCCTCAACAACCTGCTGGACTTCAACATCCTCAAGGAGAACTTCGACCTCATGGTGAACTTCCTGGAGAAGAACCTCCCACGAAGAGTGCACGAACAGAGCCGGTCAAGAAAGCAAAGGTGGAATTTGCAGTTCCCCCAAGGACATCCCCATCGTCTTCACCGATGGCAAGCAGCTTAGCAGCAGCACCTTCATTTGCAGGTGGCGTCCAAGAAGTGGCTTTGGATGAGCGGGAGTTCGTCGAAGTGGACGAATACCCTTTGGTGGACCTCAACGACTGGGGCGAGTTCAAGGAGATTGACCTCGAGCAGGAATCTGAAGAAGCTGGACCTCCAGATGTCTCTGAAGAGATGTTGGCGCAGTTGGAGCTGGAGGCAGATGAGCGAGAAATCACAAGGCTCAAGGAGATGGGAGTCCTCATTCCCAAGAGTGGCAACTTTGAGGACTGCAGGTTCCTGACGACCAAGAAGGTCTGTGACTGGAGATGGCGCCTGAAGGAAGAGACTGGCAAGTTTGGCTGGATGAGACGGTCAAGACTGGTTGGAAGAGACTGCAAGTTTCTCTCCCCTGAGATGGAGAATCTGTTCAGTCCCACAAGCAATGCAATTGGAGTGAAATTGTGGGCAGCCTTGGTTCAGTCAAGCCAAGGAGAACTTGGACTATGGGCAGTCGATGTTAAGGACGCCTACCTCATGGTAATTGAGGAGGAGAAGGTCTATGTGGAGTGCAATGGCGAGTTCTTTGAACTTGGACGATGTCTTCCTGGACAACGAGTTGGTTCCAAGGCATGGTATGACCACTTAGGCAAAGTGGCAAGAGACCAAGGATTACAACCATATCCTGCAAACCCCGCGGTTTTCTACAAGGTTGGCAGGACACCCCTGGTGATGTCTTCACACGTTGATGACCTACAGCTGGTTGGAAGTCAACAAGATGTTGAGAAGCTCCTTGATAGCTTCAGAAAGCAGGAATGGACACTGCAAGTACAAGGACCCTGTTCATCTAAGGTTGCAGGGCAATGCGCATTCGTCAAGAGGCATTTTGCTTCTGATGGATCTGGTTCCATGACTGTGAGGATGGACCAGAAGTATGTGAAGAAGTTGGTAGACTTGTTGGACCTGCACGTCAACAAGGGCAAGCAGACGCCTACAACTGGCACCTTCCAGAAAGGACTACAAGGACAACCTCTTTCCAAAGAAGAGTCGAGCCTCTACAGAACATGTGTTGGCATTTTGCTGCACATGTCAACAGAAAGGCCAGACATCCAATGTGCAGTTCGACAGTTAACTTCAAAGGTCACAGGACCTGACACCCTGGACAAGAAGGAGTTGAAGCAGTTGGTGCTCTACCTGAAGCACACGGCTGACTACGTCCAGGAGATGAAGCAGAGCTTCGCAATGGCTTCGGCTATGGGAGAAAGGAATGATGATGTGAAGATGGCTGCAACACAGCGTCCGAGCCTACTTGAAGTTTTCACGGACAGCGACTGGGCATCGGACAGGACTACAAGGAGATCTATGTCATGCAGTCACATGTACCTCAACGGCGTCTTCTTTTGGAGTGCAAGCAGGAGCCAGAAAAGTATAGCTTTGTCAAGTTGTGAGGCTGAGTTCATTTCAGCAGTCAGCGGCATGGCAGATGGAATCTACATCAAGCGAATGTTGGAGGCCGTGCTGAACATGAAGGTGGTCTTGGAGTTGAGGATTGACAGTTCCTCTGCTCGAGCGCCACTCCAACGACAAGGAGTTCAGAGAACCCGACACATAAGCACTGGACTTTTGTGGGTGCAGCAGAAAGTGGAAGAACGAGAAGCTGCAATTCGACCTGTGCCGGGAAAAGAGAACAGCAGCGATTTGGGAACGAAGAGTCACAGCAGCAAGAGATTGAGATTCTTGCTAGGCCTCATTGGCTACTTGGAGTTCGCTGGTGGACCACGAGTTGGAGCCCAAGAAGAAGAGATTCGACATGTCAAAGGACTCAGACCTGAAAGAGTGCAACAGCTGACATGTTTGCTTTTGGCGGCTTTGAGTCAGCAGGGCAACGGAATGGAAGTCGAAGAGACGACCAGTAGTGACAGCAACCGTGAAATTTTACTGATGGTTTTCACGGCAAATGCAGTTTTGTTTGTAGCCATGGGATTGGCTATGAGCGTGCAAGGTTGCGACTTAGCGCTGATGGTGTTTGATTCGGCTTCGATTGGAGCATGGTCTCTCCTGACCGAGATGGGCTACCAGATCTTGCAGACAGGCATGATGATGGTGGCATTCAATGTGGTGGTCTTCATCCTGTTCTACCTCAGGGACTACTTCAACCTACGACCTGTTGAAGGTGGAGGAGAATTTCAACGAGAAACTTCACCCCCTCAAGATCCTCACCGAGAAGGAGAACAGCGAAAAGTCAAGCAGACAAGGTTCAACCTCTTTGGAGAACCAGCCGGACATGATCCGGAAGCTCGCGGAAGTGATCGCGATGGAGAACTATGGGATGAACCTGAAGGTGGAGATGTCAACCACCTACTACTTGAAGGAGAAGAAGAAGGTGATGGACAAGAAGAAGAAGAGTTACCACAACTCGAGAATCTCACGGAGACAGCCTACACCTCTGGCGGAGAACCCACTGAAGATGAGTTCACAGAGGGCGCCATGGACACAGAGGACGCCATGGACGTGGACGATGATGATGTCATCGCAACAGTTGAAGATTGGGACCCCATTGGTCAAGAAATGGCAACGTACAGAGTTCTTCGACATCGAGCTCAAGCATTTCCTGGAGAAGAGTACTTCTTGGACATTGATGGACGTCTTGAACGCCATGGAGGATTTGGAAGCTTGAGTGGAGAAGAATCTGAAGAAGAACAACCTTCGACAGCAGATGACCAACCTGCTGAAGAACCTGAAGGCAGTGGATCTGAACAAGCCCTACGCGTGGCAGGAGAACTTGGTGACGAAGTGACGGACGCAGTTCGAGAACTTCGACAACATGCAGGCCTACTTCAAGAGCTGGGTGAACACCCAGAGTGCTACATGGAGTACAACATGCCTGGCATTGTGTTCTGGGTGAATCCAGACACTGGTGAGATCCAGATGCACCGACTCCTCGACCTCACGATCGACACCCCTGAAGATGGCGAGGAATACTTCATCGAGAACCCCAACTGGATGAGAGATGGTGGAAAATGGTTGATCAGGCGACTTCACTATGAGCCTGAGCCAGAAGAGGAAATCCCTGAATCTCCAAGAGGCTATGGCTGGGCCCTTGGAACAAGAGAGTGGATGGACCACGTGCGAGAAAGGAGAGCAGCTGCAGAACGAGAAGCTCTAAGACAGCAAGTTGAGCAGGCAGAAGCAGCTGGGCTGAGACAAAGGCGCTGAGGAGCAATCAACGCATGAGAGCAATCTCTGCTGGTGAACATCCACCTGACAGAGAAAGCTAAGCAATCAATGCCAGTGAACATCTACCTGGCAGAGAGCTGAGTGTTAGAGTTGGTAGAGGTTAGCCCACCTCAACCAAAGGAGGAGTGTAACACGTTTCAGCCGAGATGTGTCACTAGTACCTCCGTGTGAAACCACATGTTGAGATGAGCGCAATCCTGGTCTTTACAGGCCGCAAGCACGACAGCTCAAGAGTGAGTGAAAGGGAAGAGCTGTGTTAGAGAATTCAATCACCGACTCCTTGTATAGCCTCGCTCCCTTTCAAGAGCTGTTGCAGGATAATATAGGCGATCATATCATGTGGACATTCTCATGGCTCAATGGGATTTTCTGTGGCACAGTGCATAGTTCCTTGGCACGCACCCTGGGGCCTTTTCCACGCGCAAAGCGCATGTTCCGCACCGAGGCCAGCCCGGCCTTCAACGACTACACTCCGCTGATCTTCCTGGCCAGTACTCCGCCCTCGGCCAATGGCCCGCAGGTGCGACGAAACGAAGTGCAAGCGCCATGGTGACCCCCAATATACCTTTCACGATGGGAGGTCCCTGGATGTCGTTGATGGACCACATTGATACACATGATATTTTTGATGACGGAGGATTGTGTCCTACGGCAGTGGCCAACCTTGGCAGCAGCCTTGCAAGAAGTTTGACCTATACTATACACTGTCTCTCCGTCTCTCTCTCTCTCCCTCTCTACTGCAGGGAAATGGAAGGGATCAGTAATTCTCGCGTGGCGACTACTTGAGGAATCCTCAAACATCTCTGGTGTCGGCCTCACACCCAAAACCACTCAGATGTTTTTTTTAGGCGGGCTACAGGGCGAGCTGGGCAAGAGAACGAGATCAGAGGTAGGTCCTTCCCTTGGCACAGGTTGCACAGGCCATGGAGCTGTTGATCGCCTCCCACGCGGACGTGCACCGCGAGTGTGGACAGATGACCAGTGGCCGGCTGGTGCCCTTGCGCTTTGCGGCGCGTGCGCAGAATGAGTATGGCCTTGAAACGTTGCAGAGGCAGGAGGTGGATGAGGTTGGTGAAGTGTGGCTTTTGGAGGTGGATGGTTGGAATGAAGTTTCCGAGGGCGACATGAAAGATGGAAATGGCAACCTGCAAACCAGCAGACTTTGCAGGATGGACTGTGCACCGCTGGCCCTGGAACGGCAGGTGTTTGCACTGTTTTCAGAATAGATGCCCATTTCGACCTCAACTTTTTGCAGTTGGGGTGCACCATCAAAACATCGTCTTTATGCGTTTCCATCAAGTCTCCGCAGTGCATGCCCTTGAAGCTGCTTAGTTAGTGGTTCACACCTGATGAACATCAACATACTACTGTATATATCTGGTGACCATGGGACGCTTCCAGACGAAATGAGCGCACCAAGCAGCACGGCTGCCGAAGGCACATGGATTTGGGTGATGCCTTCCACTGGGCAGCCGGGGAGAACGCCGAGGGCATCATGCTCTCTGAGATCAGGTGAGCGGATCATGGCGGATCATAACACATCAAAACATACCAAGACGAATCCATTTCCAATCTGCAACTTTTGTGAATTTCAGAAGGTGCTTGCATCATTCCTGCCAGGAACCCCTAATGCGGCATCTAGATGAAAAATAGAAAGGTCACCCATCGCATCTCCACACCAAATGTTGCATGCCCTCGCCCGTTTGTTTACTCTCTATTTGTGATTATGTGTTAACACATCCCTTCATTGTTCTCCTGTGGATGATAGCGACCTCCTTTACTGTGTCCAACATTTCCATCATTTCGTTCTTTTTGTTGTCTTTGTGGATGGATTTTGTGTTTTTGGTTTGCTCTGCGGAGGGGCTGCCTGAACCCTTTTGTCGCCTTGCGATTGCTGTCATCCTTTCCCTAGTCAAGTCTCTTTTCCCTTTCCGTGCTCACTGGGCATACTTTTTGGATCCTTCTTTTTTCTTCTTGATTCCCGTCGAGCATTTTCCCCAAACAGTGCGGACACACTATAGGGGTTCTTACGGTAAAGGTTAAGCACCGGTGTCTAATGGAGGTGTCGCGCATCCATGTCTGGCTAATTCGCTGCTATTTACAGTACACTCATACCTCTCGAAATCCTCGAAGTGCATTTCGACTGCGCAGGCTCGTAAAATCTTTTTGGATGGAGTGGGTGCTTGTCGCGACTGCGCTTGTGGTGCCGTGCGCATTTTCGGACCTGGTGGTCACTTTTCGTGGCAGGTGCAAGGGAAACCTCGTGTTTTGGTGGTGCGAAGTCGGCTTATCCTGACAGGCGCCAGGGATCGGAGCGGTTGCGCTTGGAACTGCAGAGTTCGTGGCAGGTGCAGCACTTTGGACATCCTGGGGGGCCATTTGATCACCAAAGACAAGGTCGAAGGTCAAATGGCCATTTGGACACGAAAAACGGTATGGCCGTGAACAAGTATTTAGCCGTGAAAAAGCCGAAGGCCGTGAAAAAGTGTGCATTTGGACGTGAAAAAACGGCTCTTGGCCGCGAAAAGGCGTGAAAAACGTGAACTCAAGGAGTTGAAACCGTGAAAAAACCAAATGGCCGTGAAAACGGGCAATGGCATCAAAGCTTTACAAAATAGGGTCGAGAGCTGTTTGATCGCATTTTTAGTGATCGAATGGCTCCCCACGATGGTGGGTGGTGATCTTCGACGCGCTCCAATTTCGTGACGTGCAGTGAATCGTGAGTTTTGGACACGTGGGTCGTTTTCAGAAATTGTGGCAGGTGCAGCACTTTGTGGACCTTTAAGTGCAGATTTCGTGGCAGGCGCAGCCGGCGCAGCACTTTGTGAACCTCGAAGTGCAGATCGTGGCAGGCGCAGCATTCTCACTCTCACTCTCACTCTCGCTCTCGCTCTCACTCTCACTCACTCACTCACACTCACACTCACACTCACACCCACTCACACCCACTCTCACTCTCTCTCTCACTCTCCCACTCCCACCCTCTCACTCTCTCACTCTCACTCTCACTCCCACTCTCACTCGCACTTGCACTCTCACTCCCACCCTCACTCCCACTCTCACGCCCACTCACTCTCACTCACTCACCACCACCGCCACTCACCACGATCTCCACCTTCATCACCACCATCACCTCTCTGGACCGCAATGTGTTTAGATCTCTAGACTTTCTGCTGCTGCGCTAGACCTCACACACACACACTTTTGGGGCCTCTTGCCGGGATAGACTGCTACTTGAACCTATATACTCGTATTCTAGTTATTTTTCCCGTCACTCCCTTCATGCTCCGCTTTGAGCCGCCGCGTGGTTTTCGTGGCGCCCATCTTGCCCAGTCCCGTGCCCTGTGCGTTTGTGAGGCGGAAGTTTGGGAACCAAATGGCCAAGACCATTGGGGAGATGGCCTCTTTCAGCTACGTGGCCAGCACCCAGATGAGACTCTTTGCCTCACCCATCTTCCCAGGCCGACGGCCCGCGAGGGGGTGGCTGACCTTGGACCAGCAGGTGGACGCAGGTGTTGGTTTGGTAGCCCACGTGTGTGGGGACCATTGGAAGTGCAAGTGTGTGCTGCAACTTGCTGCAAGTTGGTTCCGCAGGCCTACATTTGAGACCCGGGAAGTTGGTACAGACCACTTCAACATATACACTCTGCCAGACAATCGTAGAAGCAGAGGATTTTTTAAAAAATGCAAGCGTCTATGGTTATGAAGCATTGGTGGCTTCCATGTTAGTGTAAAACGGTTGTATATAGATAAACATAGAAGCCGCCTACACAGGGCTAAACCCAACGGACAAGACCAAAACACATCCACTTTCAGGACTAACGTAGTCATTGGGAATGAGCATGTGCATTCCACGTATGTGTAGAAAAGTAGGTGGACTTGTTCTTCGACTGACTTTGTGTGGAGTCCATGTTTGTGAACCTGGCTTGCGAAAATAAGTGTGCGCTTCCATGATTGTTAGAAAAAATAATCTTCCACTTCCATGAATGTCTGAGAGAGAGAGAGTAGATCCTTATAAAAACCATCACGCTCGATTTTATAGAAACATATATTGTTGTGTTGTTTAAAATCATAAGTTTGTCGCGCAAACAGTCCATTGTCATACCACGTTTCACATTGTTCATAAAACAGTCATAGCTTTTCATAAATGTTGAGAACAATAGTTTTTAAATGAAACCATTATGAAACCATTATGACACATGGTACTGGAAAAATATGTTTCGTTCACAGCGCCAATTTGTTTTTTATGTGTATTTTTAAAGTAGTTTTTAGTAATTACATGATTTCATAGATTTGTTTGTATTGGTTTTATTTAAACAATACAATCACTAAAACAAACAAACGTTAATGATTTGGCCTTATACAAGACTTGTTGGGTCTCATGTCTACATATTGTTTCGCAACAGCATATTCCAACCATTGGCAATTGTCAACAACATAAATACACAAAAAATGCGATGCAAGAACACCACGCCTTGCCAGACCTTGTCAATGAATTATTCAACCTACGAACCTACGAAATTTGCACCAGTGTCAAAAAGGACCTCTCTCTGTAGAAGTGAGGCATGAGTATTGAAACAATTCATCCTGGTGCACATACCCTCCCAGAATGCCTGCCAAGTAGCACCACCTACTCAGCCACGCTCCTACCTCGCAGGTGGCTTGCGCGCCTCGGGCGCGGTGTCGCTCTGCAAGGGCCTCTACGACGATGGCCACGTGCGGAAGGGCCAACGAGCGGATCCCAACTCTCCGGGCCTTGAAGGTGCGGTGCGGTGCGGGGGGGGGGGAGCCGGTTCCGACCTGATGTGGATGTGGGAGATGTGGGTGGGGGATTTCCGGGGGCAGAGTCGGAGAAGCAAGTGATGCAAAAGAATTGAAGGACCTATTGACAGCAGCCATAGCGAAGCCGGACGTTGAGTCTTTGAAACCCAACGCCCGAAGCTCCCTGCCGCCCAGTTCAGGCAATACGGCTTTGATGGACATGATCACGGAAGGGAATCTGCCAGTGATTCAAGCCTTGCTTGACTGCCGAGCCAACCTGGATCAGAGGGATAGCAGCGGGGCCACGCCTTTGCACTACGCCGCGATGCACGGGAAGGCACTGTGGAAAGCCTTTTAGGCAACCGCTAAGAGCGAAACATCGTTGGACGACAGTATATATTTACATCAAAGGCCTGGTTTCCCACCGAGTGCTCGTCCTCCGCTACTCCCAACATGCCATCATAGCTTCCTCCCACAACATCCTCCATTCTTTCTTCCCCTGAGCTTTCAATGCGCCACATGCCCCAACCAAAAGCCTGGGAGATGCGTGCGATGCATGGCACGCATTTTCCTGTGTGAGGTGGACGTGATTCGATTTCTGTTGGAGCGCGGCGCGGATCCCAGCGCTGTGAACCACGCGGGCTTCTCACCGTGGATGATGGTGGCTGAAGCTTTGAACGTCAGTGGAGAGGAACTCCGAGACAGCCTGGAGCTGTTGAAGCCGCAAGTGAGTCCGGAGGAGTTGTTGCAGGTGGCAGAGGAGCCTGAAGCCTTGCTGCAGCTAGTGGAGGAGCATGTGGAATGGGAGTCAGACTTGGCCGATGCTGAAGTGTTGGAAGATGTTGAGTGGGCTGGTGATGAAATGAGAGCATGAGCTACTGTAGAAGATGTATATGAGACCTGCGATATTTAGTTATATTTAGTTGATGGGAGTCTGAATCATCCACACCCAGTGGAGGAGGTGAGCATGGATCATTTGCAGAAGTCCTTCCGTGGCTGAGCTTGCATCAAACATGGTGCCGCCGAGTGGTTTTATGCCTTGGTGATGGTGGTGCGGATTACGAAGCATGTGTTTTGACCACCGTGGCACCCAATGCACAAGTCCAACCATCCCAACCATCATTAGCTGACTCAAACTCACGATCCTGAGTGCAAGGTTGGATTTTCAGTAGTCTCCAATTTGGTTTGCAAACTCCTGTGGATCTAGGAGGAGATAAGAACGTTAAGAGTCTTGTACCGTATCACTGTTTCTTCAATCTAACATGTCCCCGCAACTTTTGCAGAGATTTTTGTCTAGTTTTGATGGCCCAGGCTTGCACGAAAGCCTCTTCTTCAACCCACGCATGGCCATCGTTGGCTCCTGGGAGGGCCGGACTTGTCTCAATAGCTTGCTAGAACGCTGGGCGAACATCCTCATCCAGTTGCTGCAAGTTGATCCTCTAAAGGCCCCAGCTCTCGAGTTTTCATGGATGCTTTCGGACATGTGTCAGAAGATCAACAAACTTCACCGTCCCTTTCGGGCTGGCATGATTTGTAGATGATGTTCGGCGGGGTGGAGATGTGATCATCCCCGAACATGGAGCCCTAACAAAGCTGCTTGTGTTCAGCTGCTTGTATTCCGTGTTGCGTCAGCAGACACAATGGAAGGGGCCTTCCTCACAGAATGTGGTTGGGCGTTTCTTTAATTCCACATCTCACACAACCATCATTGCGATGATCTATGACATATGCTGATGCACTACACGCACGCACACACTTACAGAAATGCATACTGACTTGACAGCGGTGCCACACGCCAGCCTAAGAAACCACATCCTGAAAAACCAGGTGAGGGGGGCCTGAGCGCCTTTAGTTAAAGGCCAGAAGTCAAACTCCACGATGCGACGAGATACAGGATGACGGCGTACCGTGCATGACTGCAGATGCATTAGCACTTTACCAAAAGATTAAAATTGAAGCAGGTACACAAGAAGGCGTCCCTTCTCGCTTCACCAGTTGTGAGCCCGTCTTCGTTGGTCCAGGGCCAACCCACAACTGCCTGGACCCCCTGCTTGATAAAAGAAAACAAAAACACAATCCGAGTGGATCCCTGTGACTACACGGGGCACACACACATATATCATATATCATATATATATATATAGCCAGAGTTCTCAGGCAAAAGGAGATAGGATCCGATGGCTCCACGACGGCAGTGGCACGAGCAACTGACAAAACGAGCGACCTTTCCCTCGACCCCAAAAGCTCACGAATCTATGTTCGATGAGTGAACCTGAAGAAGCTGTGTACTTCTTGCATGCCGGAAACCAAAAACACACAAACGAGAAAACGCAAACCTCTACTTGTTGTCGCTCTGTATGTAGTGCGTGCTGTTGCTGGATGGGATGGTGCTTTCCAGTGGTGTCTGGCCCTGAGCTTTCCGTCTTCTCGCTGAAGACATTTAGGGTCTTCCACTATCCTCCAGCACTGTTCCATGTCATAAAACGGCATGAGTTGCCTTAGATCTTTGCCCTTAGTCAAGCCATTGGCTAACTGTGCTTCACTGTGTACCCACCTTACCTTAAGATCATTCATGTTTTGTGCATCTTTGATACGCATGAGTGTGATGTCCACACGACGTTCCGCCCCGTTTAGACTCAGAACCTCAGATCGAATTTGTCAAACACGTTTCGACTGTCAGTCACCAGAAAGCCAGGGATCTTGTTCACCAACGTGTTTGGGCTTTGGATCCTCATAGTGAATCCAAAGCATTTCTCCCAAGTGGAGCCTACAAAAACAAAGCAGATCTTCGCCGTGAACAGCTGCCATGGTTTCATTTGCTCCTGGACTAGAGCATACCCTGGCGATCTTTGAAGATTGCCAAGACAGCAAGGTGACAGGCACGCACTGGCCTGACATCAGGTCTTTGGATTTGGAAGCTGCAATGATGACAACATCTTGTGTGCTACCACCGCCAATCCTGTTCTGATTGGCTGCATGTACCCAAGCGACCAAAACCACATTGTTCAAATCAATCTTGCGGATTTTTACTTCTGCTCTTTCATGTTTCGCACTTGGTCCAGCAAGCGGTTGGCTCGGAACAAAGTGTCCCCTATGCTGTGGTTTATTTCTGACAGAAGGAGTTCCACATCGGCAGAGAAGTGAGGTGCCACCTGTTGACTGTACCAGCTGATGCCACCCAGGCGTCCTCTGAGGTGAGTCTTTTCCAAGTCATCTGTTGGAGCATTTCGTTCTCTTTTCCGTGATGCTCGGATGTTGATGGCTGGTATCGACTCCACGTAGGTTTCTGCGAAAGAGAGTATGAACCATCCTGTTCCTGCTCGATCAGGACGCCGCGTCGTACAAATCGACCCTCTTCCCAATCACTTCAAGGGAACTCTTCTTTGATCGCCTTTTCAACTGAAAGCCAGATGTCATCAGACGAACTGCCCGAGAAAAGAAAATCATCAACATGGCCCGAGATAATGCCTCGCAATTTGTTTGTCCTCACGGACAAGAGTCCAACAACAAGGATCGCTCCAGCATCGACGGTGCTGATGCTGCGGTACCACTCAAGTGGTGCGTGACAGACTTTCGTCAATGAGCCTGGGGCTAAACCCATTGCTTCACAAATCTCTGGACATGGGATGCAAAGAAGTTCATCTGGGTATGGCCGAGATGGTAAAAAGGCACCGGTCACTTCAAGGCGCCCACAAAGTAAGCATTCGAGTCCAATTCAGGATGCGTTCTGAGCTAGCCTTGCTTGAAGGCACGTCGATCTCGATGTGATACACAAAATCACGAGCATCATTCGTATTGATGGCCTCAGAGAAGCAGGACTCAGTTCTGTCCAGTGGGGTGCAGCTTGAAACCCAGAGTCAGCTGGCTCTGATGGTCTGTTCATCCCTGAGCCTGAGGAAGGTCGTGGAGGGCTTCGACTTCTCGGTCTGCTCTCTGACAGAGGAGTTGGGGGATGACTTTTTTCTGGCCCGCTGAACCGGCTTGGGTGCTGCCCTGACACACTGCAGGAGGGTTGCCATTCATGAAGAGGATTCCCAGCTCTACGCCATTCTGCTTCACTTGGCTGTTCCTGCAGATCTTCATAGTCGTTGTTTCCCAATTCCTCAGCCACGATGGGGAAATCCGAAGTTGGTGTTTCCCTAGCGTCATGAAGTCCTGTGAGGATGGTCTCTCGCTCTGAAGCACGTCGAAGCTGTTCAGGGCAGCGTTTCAACAGTCGACGGCCGCGTACCAACCAGACTGAGCTCGGATCCCTGGTCGGAGATGGCCTTGTTCATCACGTGACTGCTCCACTGCTAGGACTCGAGCTGGGCCGACAAAACGACCCTGTCCGGTCTTGTGTTGTTGAGCATCCTCTCCAGTCAGTTGTTTCCGCCAAATGAAAACAAGGTCTCCTGCTGAAAAATCAAGCACTCTCCTATGTTTGGAGTGAGTAGCACGTCGAGTTCGTTCAGTTGCCACCCAATCCAAAAAGAAGCTTTTTCGGCTGTCAAACGAAGTTGTTGATCTCTCTCCATGGTTTCTGTCGCCATGGGCAGTTCTCCTGGTGCCTCCAAGTCACGGGCAGGGGCGAAAAAGCGTCCGTGCTCATCGGTCGCTCGCCCCAAAACATACTGGATCGGTGATAAACCACGCACACTTTCTCGATGGTTGATGGCCCGGACGGACTCAGCCAGGATCTGCTCTGCCGTCAGAGCAGGTGATTCGGCTGCTAGGCGTGCCATGACATGTTTTTTGGCTTGGATACTGCGCTCGCGCACTGAGAGTTTCCAGTGGGCCTCACCTGGAATCAAGTCAAGATAGGTCTGGTGTCTATCGCAGTAGCTTGCCAGTTCAAGGCTACGGAAAGACCCGTCTGGGTCAAGTCTCAGAGTTTGTGGTTGACCGAAGTAGGAATACAAGCTTCCTGAAAAACTTGCACAAACTGACCTGCACTGATATGTTTCTGCTTTCCGTGAAGGATCATGCGACCTACGCGGAACATCGGCCCTTCGTCCACCATCAACATGAATTGCCACTTCTCCTATGTGGCAGGATGGTACCAATGCCCCACGTCCGCCGACACCGTCGTGAATTTGGGGGGAAGTGGCTCAAGCGAAGCGAGATTGCGAGGTCGTGGTTGAGACCTCTCTTCACACGCCGGGCAACGAGACGAGTGAGCGAGATCCAAAACCTTTTGTGCAACTCCTTTACCTCTCAAGGCCTGAATCATGCTAGGAATAGAGCCATGTCCGGTAGCAGAATGCAACAAGTATAACCGACGTTTGATGTCTTCATGGCTCAAGCGTTGTTTCAAAGTTGTCCACCGTTAAAACTTTTTGTTGTGTCCTTTGTGTGCGATGGCCACCTGGTGTGAGGACCAGCCCCCAAACCAAAAGCCTCAAGGGTTGGTTTACCTTTCAACTCCTTCCATTGTTCCCTGCCCCCGCCGCGCAAGATCTCACGGCACGCCCGAAGTGCAAACTCATGTGTGTAGTATGCAGTGGATCTAGTGGCATTACGTTCACATGGGGCATGGTATGTTCCTGGTGCGCAACGACATGGAAGCTGCATACGAATAGACAAAGGTTCATGTGTAGTCATCAGTTTCCATCCTTTGGATATGAAATGCGTGTTTTGGTTTCGCAACTTCACCTGACAACCTCTGACAATGGCAAAGTAGGGGCTATACTTCTTCATGAGGGCTTGCGACACAGGAAGGCGCCAAGCTTGACATGACTGGGACAGCTCCCAGACTACATGTGTGCCGCCGTGCCGCGTTGAACACAGTATTGGTACATGATCGCGCAGCCCATGTATTGTTTCTGTGAGCGACAAAACAAAAGCCCCGTGCGTCAGTCACGCACCATTTCTTGAGCCAAAACGCGAGTGGTCATTTGACCGGTTGACACCTTTCATGGTGACTGCACATCGAAAACCACATGTCCCACACTCCCCCTACTGGCGGTGCCAGTACTTCAAACCGGAGCGTCAACAGTAGGTTTTTTCTTCTACTGTTGAGGGACAAGTTCAAAACTCCCAGATGATCGGGAGTCGGAATCACTCGCATTCGGCCGCTCACTTCGTTCAGCAGCCTTCTCAATGCCCATCCACAAAGGCAAGGAGTCTGCCTCAGGCGGCAGAAGATTCTCCAAAGCCAGAGGTGTATTGCCGGCCCGCTCGTTATTCTGCATTTCTCCCCTTTGAATGCAGCCATCCAAGCGCGCCGCATAGCCGCTGCCACCCTCATACTCCACAATGTCTCGTGCGCTGACTTCCACCGGACTAGGCAAACCCGGCGGAATACCAAAGCCATCTTGTCGAGCCACCGCCGCAGCCCCACGTTCCACAGCTGTGGACTGCAGAGGATCAGCGCCTCCATAGCCCGCTCGATCCCTCTGGATGGAAAGACCTGGAGTCACAGGCCGCTGCTCCACTTCTTCTCGAAGTCCTTGACCATCACCGG